TAAGTGAGTTTCACCGCATTTTACAAGTTGGCCACACCCACCCAGTCACATGACTGCCAAGCCATTCCCACTCGGTCACATGGCCAGCAAGCCACTCCCACCTGGTTACATGGCCGGCAAGCCACTCCTACAAAGCAGGCCACACCTACAGAAGAGGTTCTAAAAAAATTTGAAACCCACCATTGGCGCATGCACACAGACTTCAAACTCTCAGCACCATCACAAGGATTTCCACCCCTTCCCTAACCTCTGATGTGGAGAGGTAATCCATCTGCAGCTGTTACCCAGCTTAAGGATACTAACACATACTCTTTGGTTAAGGGCTGGGCAGCACAGCTGTGCTTTGCTCATTTTTGGGGCCTTTGAGTCAATCTTGAGTCTTGGTGACTTGCCTGGATAAGTCCCTGAGGTTTTCTTGGCATGATTTTGGCAGCAGTTTCTTTTTGATTGGCCCAAGGTCATCCTTCTGGCCGAAGGTTGGACTAGAACTCAGGGTTTATCGATCCTTATCCTGGCACCTTAACCACTACGCCAAATTGTATCAGCCCTGCCTGGTTTTGCGCCTCACAGGCATCCTGCTGTCAAAAGAAGAAGCGGGTAGAATCAAAGAGGGAAGAAAGGGGAAAGGATGAAAGGGCAATAAAGCTTTGTGTCTATGCGATAGGAAATCCGGAGGGGGGCGGGAATGACAGGTGAGAAGGACCAGAGCAATCTTTATACCAGCGTCCCACAGCCAGGCACCGTGAGAAATATGCAGATTACCCACAAACAGCTCAGAGTTCTCAAAACATTTTGGCGAGCTCCGGTTGGCTGGAAGTGGGACTTGTCATGGGGAGAGGATGGAGAAATCTATAACTGATTTTTGTTTCTAGTGAGCGTGGGAGATTTCAAAGCTACTTTGGCTTTACTGCAGCCAACATCCTGAGTAAACGAACCCTTTGCTTGAACCAAATGCAGTCGAGGGCTTTTCTTTCTTAAGGGATCAGATTGGGGCAGGTATGACAAATTGTCTCTCTTGTACTTCAGTTTAATAGTGGTCCCATTCAGGAAGAACCCTCAAAAGTGAAACTTCTACCAGTATACTATAGACTTCAGATGGCTTCATTGCGGAGAGCGCACGGATACTAATAATTATAAATATGCCGAGTGAGTAAGGAAATCTATTTAGAAAACATTTCTCATCGAGCTGTGTTTATATCAACTGTGGTGGGAGCTTTGCTAGCCATGCGGTAAGGTGAGGTTCTCTGGGATTTCCATGATTCTAGCAGATGCTGGAGACAGCTGCCTCTTCTCTAAAGGAGAAAGATAAAAATACTTTTTTTTTCACCTGGGCACTTCGGATGGATGGCCAAGGGCTGTTTCCCTACAAATAGGGGTGAAGAGGAAGGGGAGGGGGAAAAAGGAGGAGGAGAATGAAAAGGAAGAGGAGCAGCAGCAGGAAGGAAGCAGAAGAAGAGGTGAAGGAGGAAGAAGGAGGAGGAAGAATCAGAAGAAGAATCAGAAGAATCAGAATCAGAAGAATCAGAATCAGAAGAATCAGAATCAGAAGAA